GTGTGTGACTAGCTAGCAGGCAGCCATCTACACATGTGTTGCAGTGGCATAAATTACTCCATTATAGGATAGTACTTGTTCCAGACAGCACTGTCCTATGGTGGATTTAATTAATTTACCGTGCTCTAATATGGGCACATGTGTAGATGGTGACGCATCACTGTGGAGCTAATTAGTCAACTCCACAGTAAAGTGCATGTGTAGATGCACCTATTGTATTCTAATTTACTTTTAAAAAGGGCAGGCTTCTATATCATTTCTTTACTCTTTGTAATAAATATGGTGAAATTTACTCTTTTTCCTTCCCTCCTTCCTCCACATGTAGTGAGACAACACAAGACTTATGCTCTGCTTAAGTCCCCCTTAAGCCCTGTTCTGACAACTGTATAGATTTTAGGGCCAGAAGGGATCATTATTACAATCCCAATCTGGCCTCCTGCATAATACAGGCCATGAATTTTATCTGGTGATTTCTGCATCAAGGCTATTGCTTGTGACTGATGTTGGCTGCTTATCACTGCCTGACTGTCTGATGTTTAGGTGGTTTGGGGTGTTTGGCTTTAAGGTATAACAAAATACATTTTAACTTTCAGGATTTCAAATGTTTTTATGTCTTCAAAAACAATGTTCCCTCAAGGATTTTTTTCTCTGAAATGACTGATAGATGTTTACAACCTTAATACATATTTTTTTCTGCCTGGGAGTATTTTCTGGAGCTTTTCCAATGTAGGTTTCAGTGTCTTCTTTTAAAAGAGCCCTGGGTAGTGCATATAAACTGCTTCCTGTTTTCAGTGCTCTATTTGTAGAGTGTTTTTTTATTGTTTGTTTAATTCTGATGGATTAGATATATGGGTAGACTTCATGGTCCCTGTCAGATTTTCCAAAAGCCTTCAACCTGCAAGGTCTATTCAGAAGGAACTTGTGAGTTATCAAATACTAAGAGGTTTTGAACAATGTTGCCAAGACAGAAAAGGAGTACCATTAATACCCAGTCCCCATAGCAGATTATACAGAGCTTCTGTGACACACCACAATTTTTCTGAAATTCTATGTAGCTGAACAAGACCAAAAAAAGCAGGGGGAGAGGGACAAGGAAAGAAAAATGTTTCAATATTTTCTAACTCTTCCACAAGGGTGAACTAGTCAGAGAGATCCATGACAATCTGTGTATAGCTGGTCTAAAGAAACATCATGGGTGTGTTTTACTGTGTCCCACCAGTGTCACTGTGAGAGGCCTGTCTCTGGCCGTGTGTAAACAGTGCTCACTGCAACACAGCACAGATTTTAGCTAGTGCCTTTAAGCATCCCCGCAGTATAAATAACAAGCATTCCCACAGTATAAATAACAATAATAATACTATTTTTCTACACAGATGGGCTGCAGGAACCATCTTATTAATGGTTCCAATTAGATTGTTATCATAACTCTGAGTTGATCCATGGCCTTTTCATAATACAAAACTTTTCAAGATATAGACTCTGGCAACAAGGGGGAGGTGGGGCAAGAAACCATCTGGATTAGCCAGCATTGAATCATGTTGATTAAGCATGAGAGTCACAAAGATAAATGCATAAACTGGGGCCATATGACCTCTGTTGTTAGCAGAAATGAAAGACACAAGGAGAGAGGAAAGGAAAGAGAAAAGGTGGGTATAGCACTGTAGAGCTGGCAAGGACAGAGAGCCTGAAGTATAATAATAAATGTTTGGGACTGCCAAATCTTAGAGAAAAAGACAGAGAGATGGCACTTCTGTTACAGGAAGGGGGAGAAAGGGAGCACTGCAAGTAGGAGTATTTTCTCCTGGGAAAGCAACTGGATACAGCAAACAGAACCTTTAGTGCTAGAAAGTATTCAAGAGGCATTTGGGGTGATGGGAGCACTATTCAGTGTTTGACAATAGTCTTCTGCAGCTGCACCCTGATGTGAATCCAGTCTAGTGGGTTACCAGTCATACCTTCCAAGTGTGTTGTGGGAACCAGTCCCAGTCGTACTTGCCTGGTCTGCAGGTTTCCAGTTTCCATGCACTATTCCTAAACATTGTGTTGGGAAAGGGGATCCAGTCTTCAGTAAGCCCTCCTACACAGTAAGACAGAGCAGAAGATCCTACTTCCAACTGCCTTTTCTAGGGAGAGAGGCAGTTTGGGATAAAAATTGCCATGAGACACATAAAAGGTACACATTTTTCCAGTACTACAGACCAGGAGGCATCAGGGTCCAAATTCTTCCAGTGGAGTGGCTATGCTCATCCTTGTTGTCAGTTGGGGCTAGGGATCCAACATTGTCAAGATTTAGCTGCCAGACCTCATCCAGGTCCTAGTTACAGGTGCTTATGGCACACCTGCTAGCATTCCTCCAGCTTTACTCCAGATGCAATGGGACTGGCTACATTTGCTCTATTCAGTATTGCCCAGGAACAAAAAATATCCTACCTAGATCTCACAGGAATAATACACTGGATCCCAGTAGAGTGGGGCCTATTTTCCCAGCATGTATAAGAGTCTGGAGTATTATGGACAGTAGAAATGGCTGAGGGAGGAGCGGAGAAGTGATCTAGATTCAGACATTCCTAGCTGGAGACTTGGGGGCAAAATCTGGCTAGATCTAGAAGGAGCCTGGTGTCACCTCTGGGCTCTGTGTGTGTGTGTGTGTGTGTGTGTGTGTGTGTGTGTGTGTGTCCAACAGCCCCTCACTTGTGTATGTGTATGCATGTATATAACAGTTCCTCTCTGAGCTGTGGCCTGTGTAATTGTGTGTCTGCACATGTGTGTGTCCAGCAGCCCTTTACTTGTTTAGGTATATCCATGTGTCTACAACAGCTCTTCTCTGGGCTGTGATTGTTTGTGTATGTCCAGCAGCCCCTTGTCTGTGTACATGTAACCATGTCTACAACAGTTCCTCTCTGGGCTGAGATTGCATGTGTGTGTGTGTGTGTCCAGCAGCCCCTTGCTTTTGTATGTGTATCCATGTCTACACCAGCTCCTCTAGGCTGTCAGTGTGTGTGTGTGTGTGTGTGTGTGTGCACGTGTGTGCGCGTGTGCACATGTGTGCATGTGTGTGTCCCCAACAGCCCTTCACTTGTGTATGTCTACTACACCTCCTCTCTGGGCTGTGATTGTGTGTGAATGTGTCTGGCAGTCCCTTGTGTAGTGTATCCATGTCTCTACCAGCTCCTCTCTGGGTTGTTAATTGTGTGTATGGTTGTGTGCCTGTGTCTGGCATCCCCTCACTTATGTACTTGTAATCCATGTCTACAACAGCTCCTGTCTAGGCTGTGACTGTGTGTGTGTGTGTGTATGCATGTACCCACATCTCCTACCTCTCAGCTCCTCTCTGGGGGGGCGGTATGTGCATGTGCGTGTGTGTATGTGTCCGTACGTGTACTTCTGTGTATGTGTACATGTATGTATGTACTGTGGGTGCGCCTCCCCGGCAGCCCCTGTCTCCGGCGCTGAAAGCGTTAAGGGCGGAGGAGTGACGCCGCCTGCGCCTGCCTCCGCTCCCGGAGCCCCCAGCACTGGCTGCGCCTCACCCGCGCCCGCCCCTGCAGACGCCCGAGACGCAGCGAGGGAGGCGAGCGGCGGCCGCACGGGAGCCATGACCGAGACCACCAAGACCCACGTCATCCTGCTGGCCTGCGGCAGCTTCAACCCCATCACCAAGGGCCACATCCAGATGTTCGGTGAGTGCGGCCGGCGCCGGCTCTGCGGCCGCCCGGCGCTGGCGCCGCTCCAGCGCGCTAGGGCGGAGGCTGCTGCTGCT